TTCATTTCATTTCAGATGTTCTAAATCGTTATTTAAAACCATTATCGTAATCAAAGACAACTGATAAGTCTTCTAACTGAATGCTTGAATAGGTTTCCTATGCTCTTCTAATAATCTCAGGCTAAATCTACATGGCAACTTGAACACGAGAGAAATGGCGTAAAGTATTAATAGAACGATGTACTTCAAAGTTATGTATAGAAAATTGGGAAGTATTTATAGTTTTTAAGATTGTCTTAGTCTTCTAGAAGTTTCTGGAATCATATTAAACATAGTGGCGGGATAGGTAATCATACAATCAGAAATATGACAAGTGACTCTGCACTTTCTAGATGTTTCTGAGAGACTTCCATTCAACGCCGTTTGGTTAAAATGTTTCCCAGCGTTTCAGTGTCCTTCTAAACTTTTTCGAAGAATACTTTGTATCTCCATAACAATAATTGATTAGGTAAGGAATAATGGTGACTGAAAATTGAAATGTGTAATGCTATTTGAAAATAACTTCAGAAACCATAACCAAAGTGAACTAGTAATTACCTAGAATATGAAGAATAGTAAATTGAATTATGTAATAATTGTAGGAGATTTGAAACAATCAATTTTAAAATGGATGGAATAGTAATAAGCTGAGTATAAAGTGCATGTGGATAATAATTGAATTTTTGGTTTAAATCAGGGACTGAGTGAAACTGGATAACTATTAAAAGCACTATTAAAAGTACCGAATAAATGTCCAGTCTTGTTGCTCAGTCCAAATTTCATCATAGATAAAGACATGACCTTCAGGATTTGTAGTGATCGCTTAAACTTGACACTATTGAATCGGGTTTTAATAGTTTACAGGTCAAATTTAAGTCAATTTGCAATCGGTGGGTAACTGTCTAGATCCAAGTTGGACGAGTTCTATTAGTCATAGCTTTTCAGTAGAATTCCGAGAATTATCGCCTGAAGTTAGTTGTTAGTGTCGACATGACTGAAAGAAGTTAGAAATATGAACTTTTTGACCTTAACTAAATGATGTAAAGGTTAAGCGATCCTCATGAATCTTTATGGTTCTGGTTCGTTCTTTGATGGATTTGTCGATGTACACTATTGTTGTTATAGTGCTTTCCTAATGTCGATTCATGACAAAAATAAAAAGTTCAAAAATCTTTATAGTTTACTTAGTATTGATTGTTTATATCTTACCACTGTGATTATCAGAACTCGGTGGCTAAGTGGACAACATGTAGTGAACGGTAGTGGGTTCGAGTTCCAGAGTGAACATCAAATCTGGTATGCAGGTACATTCAGCTGACGAGTCCCAACTGGGGTAAAACGGGCTCCCTGGATTCCACTGTTAGCCACTATCCATCTTTGCTTATAAAACTTGTGACTTCAAGCAATATTGAGGCAATCCGCACGGTATGCACAAATGTCAATCAGAGACTGATCAATTGCAGTCCTTAACATCAATGGGAAGATACAGGTAAACAACTCCAAGTCAGTGAGATTAAAAGTTTAAGATGGTGGTTGGAGGTGGTGCGGGACTCGTCAGCAGTGTTTATTCAAGCATTCATTCAGGATGGTGGGTAAACACTGTTGACCAGTCCCATACTGGTCAGCAATGACCGTCCGATGCTTCCAGCAGTTCACTGATGATGCACCTTATATTCACTCGTCATTTCAACTGATTATCTTATTAAACATTTTACGGCTATAACATACATTCAGAAAGTCTTTTAAATGAATAAATCCACATCTAAATTTGTGATGATGGGTAGGGATATCTTTCAATTGTTTAACTCATTATAAGCCTTAAAAACCAATGGACTTCCTAAAACCACGAAACTCCAACAAATTTCACTACTCCGGTTGAGAAATACTTTTGATTTATACAAACTCTTTACTCGTCGGTTCAAAAGTGAAATTGAAATTGCACAGTTAAGAGTTGCTCAAGGTCACCTCTGTACTATACTTTTACTGTTAATGCATGCGAACTGTAGAATCCAAACTACGGTTTGGATGTTGAAGAATAGCCTTCCGTGACTTTAGACACGCGGCCTTCCCCGTCGAAATCAGAACAAGTAATCGGGTTCTTGATAAATCATATCATTTGGGGGAACCCCTGCAAACTGAGCGGCACAATCAAGGACCACTCTAAGATCTGGTTTTTTCATGTTTAATACTGCATGATGAGGTAAATACCATCGAGGGCGATAATAAGACTGCAGATATATTTCAAAGACCCTCTCCCCATAAGTCTTAGTAAAATCACTTTCAGTACTTTTGATATTCTTGATGTGCAGACTGACATCCTTCGACAACATACCCTTCAAACTTTGTAATCTACGGTATGCTACTTCATAATTATCCACTTTCATATCTGAATTCTTTTTCCACGGTATAGAAACTACAAAATGACCGTTGTCGAAGCGCGTGCCACCTTCCACAATCTTTATAGCCACCTTGTCGTCTACTGATAATGATTTATCACTTGAATAAACATCAGAAAACTCTACATCATAAAGTTTACGTATTTCGTTTTCCAAAGTCTGTAATTTACTAGTATGATTAACAACTCTTTTCCTATATTCCGAATACGACGCAGGTCCGAAAACCGTCCACCCCAGCAACGTTTTCACAGCGTACGGGTTCTTCCTTCCACCCAACTGTTGGTCTAACACCCAATGTGCTTCTGGTACGTCGCAACCAATCAACAGTAAAACTTCTTCAGAATCTAGGCTATCTATTGGCACATCACTTAAATGCGGCCACTTAACTAGGTTATTCATTGCCGACTTTGTTGGCTTATGACCTGGTATACCTGCCACAATCAGAGCTCCTTCAATCGTAACATGTTCAGATCGATCTACAGAATATACCTCAAAAGGCGCACTCGTGACCTTCATCGTTCTATTACCGCCCACAGTCTCAACTACCACTGATGCTTCGTCTTCGCTCAGCCCGAGAGACCTCAAACAGTTTGATTTTATCAGTGTCACATCAGAACCGTGGTCCAACAGAGCAATCAGATCTTTGCCACAGGCTGATGACAGATGGAAAACTTTTAAAATACAAATAATACTGAACAACCATTATGTCTTTATTTGAGAATCCTTAATGCTGAGCACTGATAACTTCATGTGGGACTGAATTCACAATCTTTAAATGATGGTCATAAATTACCAAGTTGAATTCCAATGGTTCATATTTTTAACTTCTATTGATTTACATTTTAGCGTAATATTATCTAACGTTATTAGTCCTGAAATCGCTTCATTCCTGGTATTGTTGAACTCTATCAGTAATTCAGTGATTCATTATACCAGAACTCTTGGAAGATATATTTCGAAACTAATTACTAACAGATTATCATTGGTACATACATTGAGGAAGATTGCTCTTCAATTCTTCCTGTTTTTCAACTAATCCCTCAAATGATAATATTATTTCTTTTGATAAGTGAAATCTAAACTAATTCTGTTCTGAACAAACCACTGAAACAAGCAGTTTGAAAATTCAAGTTTCTTATATTAATCTATGACAATTAATGCTAAAATAAGACCAGTACTTGTGAAGTTCCAGCACGTTATTAACATAGATTCAAAGGAATCTTAATAGTATTTGTGTTTACATGATTTTCATAGTATATATATCACAGATTGATCATAGTCAGATAGCCAACGAAAACCAGGAATCATTACAGAACTGTTTTGTCTTATTATGTGATTGCACAATAGTGCACATGAAGAACGCCCGAAGGGGATCGAACCTAAGACCTTCAGTCACTTGGCAAATGCTTAATCTCTAGACTATTGAGCAAGTATTATGTATACTAGTGTTATTGTTTGCAGGTTAACAATTATTGAATCAAGCGTTAGCTATTTTTAATCAGTATAGGGTTGTGGAGATTATTAAATTTTTGATTGAGATCATGAACCGATTGATGTTAGACCACCATTGAAAATCTGGAATCACTGGACGAACTTTTCGTCCTAGTATAGGCCCCAAGTTCGAATCCTACGAGCGGGATAGTGGGTACGCACTGCTGAGAAGTCCCACGATAGGATGAAATGGCCGTCCTGTTTTTCCTGGTTAGCTAATTTATCAGTTACCGTTTAAGTTTGTGTACTATATAAAACCTGACTTTGTAAGTGAATAACTATGCTCTCATTATTTTGACTAGAAATTTAAGTTTATGTCTAATATATAAGGCTCTTCTACTATATATAAGGCACACTGTTACTGATTATCTCAGAATCTTCCAGTAGAAAAATGTGTCCGTTCTCCCAAAGTTATATTTTGTAGTTATTTTGTTCCCCTCGTTTTTTTTTCGTTACTTATTTATCCAATAATAATGAACACCATCAATTTGATGAATTCAATTAGCACAGCACTCTAATTCTTTTTATACATATTCTATCAGTTTAAATGTTCTAACTAACTTTTGGTGCATTTTTTTTCTTCTTTCTATCTAACTTTCCCATTGACCATATTTCCCCTTAGTCTGTAAAATTTCTTCCCCTTTTTCTGTGATTGACCTCTATTAGATGCTTACATCTCTTAGAGGTGATTTCCCTTCTTTACCGAAATCAAATCCACTCATATACATATTCATATATTTTATGTACACAAATTGCATTACATACATATTTATTAGCACAATTTTCACTTTAGACACAATCAGAACAGTGCTAATATATGCACCTATGCACACCCATACATACACATACGCACATACATGAACAGGTAGACACAATAATAATCACAACAATGGGAAAAAATGGAAAGTTATAGAGATAACAATAAACGATTGTTACTTTCTACACCAAAAAGCATCAGGATTAGTAGTAAAATTATTATTATTATTATTGTTATCAGAAAAGTGAAATTCATTACAGTCAAAGAGAAGTTTTGATTATTGACTATTAATACTATTTCAGTAGTATAAAACATGATTCAATTATTCAATTATCAATTATAGAATCGATTATATCTGGGATATTTTGAAATTGATGTATCATTATTATTGACATTATTATTACATTTTAAGCGAGAGAGAGGGAAAACAACAAGAAAAAAGAAAAAAACAGGGAAATCATTTCAAAGACAATATTTCTATAAACATTGAATGTATACAAACAGAATAAACATAATCAAAGTGAACATAGAAACATATCCCCAATAGTCATAATAATAATAATAATGGCTTTCACACAAATTGGATGTTCCTCTTCATATAAAATGACAATATGTCCACGAAACCCATCCCCAACGACAATGTCTATAAATAATGATGTTACACATGTTGAAGATGGATTTTCAGTAAGTAATGAATAATTTCTTTTGTTATTAATGATACTTAGACATAATTATGTAGAAGTATTTATGAGATGGTGGCGAAGATTTGTAGCCCAGATGGATGATTTTGATGAAGTTTCGTTCTCAGATACAAAATTTGTGCTGATGATGTCGTTCAGAAGAATGATAAAAACTCCACGACCAAATCAACCAGATCAGAGAACAAAACTCCATCAGAAGTATTTATGAATATATACTGATTATCACATTTATGATCCCAGAGTGGACATCAATTCTGGAATGCAGATATATCTTGTTGATAAGTTCGAAATAGAACAAAACTTGCGTTCTGAATTCAAATGTTAGCCACTATCCATCTTTTTATTTATAAAGCTTGTTATTTAAAGCTATATCGAGGCAATCCGTACAGGAAGCATATATGCCAATTAGAGATTGATCAATTGAGCGGTTCTAAATAACAATGGGAAAATACAAGTGAATTTGACTTAAGGATTACTGTTCATTGCATATGAAATAAGTGTGGTTATGAATATACTTTTTAGGAATCTTATATCTGACTCCAGTTATATCGTATGAATGAGTGTTATTGAAATATACATGTTGCCATATCCTCGTATATAATCATTGACTCGAATCGCGTTGGCGAATAATAGAATTAAATAAGTTAAATACGAGAATAGATTTCGAATAGATAATCAGAAAGACGGAGTGTAGGAAATGAAGAAAGCGAAGCAAACTGACACGCAGTGGAGAAATTGTGTAAGTTGACTCAATTTAATTAAGCGTTATTTGATATTTAAGTTACAAGGATGTGATGAGTAAAATAAGAAATGTACACATATACGCTCACATAAAAACAAACAAAGTTGGCAAGCGAATAATTAACAAGATGTAAATGCAAACCGACAAAATGAAGAAATTGCCCTGTCCAGAAGTTAGAATAAGCTATGTGGGTTCAACATAGTAACCAACCACTACAACTTTTTTTGTTTTATTCTAATAAATAGAAAAATTGTATATTCTGACATTTTGTGAGTTAATGTGAATATTTACTTTGAAGAAGTGGCTTACATTAAGTCATGAAACAACACCAATATAATCTTTCTACTCATTATGATATAACAAAAAATGTATATTGACTATTAATTTTCGTTGACCACCATGGAAAACGTGGCAGCACTGGACGACCGTTCACTCTATTGTGGGACTTCTAAGCAGTTCTAGTGAGAAGCAGTGACTAGCGTAGTTCAACCGGGTATAGTGTTAGATAGTAGCTCATTGATGATAGTGGTGAATGTGTCGCTCAATTTAGTGGATTAGTTAAAGTTAGACAATAACACCGCTGGATGCTGGCCAGCTCAATGGTCTAAATTTTAGCAGTTCGCGCGCGGTACTGATAAGATGATGATTAGTAGCAGAATCCAGGATTTGTGTTTTGTCCCATTTGGGACTCTTCAGCTGGATGTTTCTGAATCCTATGTTTGGTGTCCACCCCGAGACTCGAACCCAGTGCCGTTCGCTTCAAACGACTCAGTAGCTAAGTGGATAACGTGAAGGCGTTTGAAGCGAACAGTATTGGGTTCGAGTCTCAATGTGATTATCAACTCTGGGATTCAGGTAAAAAAAACCATTTGACGATTCCCAAATATTACGAAATGCTTGTCCTGGATTCCACCGCTAGCTATTATCTATCTTTGCTTACAAATATTTGTAATTTTTTTCAGCCTAATATCATGAGTGTTTATCTCAAATGTAAAAATCAAAACTTCCTTAATTAGCCTTCCAATATGGAGTGATATAAAACACTTTTGTTTTTTTAAAAATTAAAATGTCATGGACACATCAAAGTATTCATGTAGTGTGAGTTATTTAATGCTCTTGCGTAACATCTATCTGTTTATTTCATTATAATTGGCATAAATTGTTGTTGAATTGTGTATCTTTTCTTTGGATAAGTCAACGAGCAAGAGCTTAAGAATAAAGGCGTTTAATAGAGAAAAGAAAAGTATTGTTCTCATAACAAAGGTAATATATATAATATCATTAATGGGATAATGTATTACAAGTCCATAGTGGTTTTCTTCAGACTGTTTAGTTTATGAATGGTCTAAGAGGTGAAATGAAATTTTACTACAGTGTACATGCATAATGAAAACATTTTATAAAAATTTTTCTTCCAAAAAACGGATGAATAGTAATACTACACCCTAAGGAATATGTGTTATTCATTGAGCCATGTTATAACTTTGGGGGGGGGAGAATTTGTGTATCTCCCTCTCTTTTTACAAATAAAAATTTTCTCGACTAAATGTCTCTCCCATCATTTACAATGAATGAATCTATTTTGATATACTATTCTCCCTTTGGTGTAATTATTACATTAGTCTATTGTGTATTGTTTTTGACAATGTAGATACACTTCTGAAGGATAAATTAAACGTTAGATGTTTTCCACAGTAATATTAAATCAGTGTAAATGATAATTTGAAAATTTACATGAATTTTATGGTTATCTAATCGAACCAAAGAAGTAGACAAATACAGTATTACTACTAAATATTCAATTGTCTGTGTATATCTCAGTTTTACAGGAGGTCAGTTGCCGGCCGAATAGCTTAATGGTTAGTTCGAAACCCATATAAAATTTCAATATTGTACAAACAATGTCAAGTTATTTAGACTAGTGGTTACATTGTAACTGGATTGATAAAATTTAATTAGGATTAAGTATTAAAACAAACATAACATCGGTCATTGCCTAGTAGTCGATCATTCACACTATCTGAAGTTTATTGTCCATGAATTTCCCATGGAAAATTACATTTAACTAATTCGTATTAACCATGAGTTTAAATGAAACTATCATTTTTTAAAAGTAATACTGTTTACTGATTGAAAGAGGACGTTTCCCCAAATCCTCAGACTGATAATAATCATATGCTCACTAGTGACAAACTTCAAGATGGATTTCCTGAAATTCTAATGAAAATCTGTGACCAATGGAGTCCAATCCGTGTTGACTGTCGGGTAGTTACCCACATCAGATAATGGATGAAGTGTTGTGAAAGATCATGGATCGACTGAAGTTAGACATTTACACCATTCGATGCCAGTTCAATGGTCTAGATGTTAAGCGTTCGCGCGTGAGACCGAAGTTGCTGGATTTGAGTTTCGCGTGTGGGATGCGTTCATACTAGGACGAGTTTGCGATCTAATGCTTCACAGTTTCCAATAGTGATCTAGCTTAGATCAACTCGTGGAGTCTACTGTGAAGATAATAAATCTATTTTTTTTTAAAAGAAACAGATGACTTCAAGTAGATCACGGGCTTTAACATGACCTATAAAGACTGAGAGAATACTCGAAAACCAGATTGAACGTCATTTTTTGTATGTTACATCCTCTCTTACTATTCGATTAAATGACAGGATATTTTTTTCAATGAACTGAATTCCGAGAAGTCTATGGTTAATATTAGATTGAACTAGGTGGACAGTTTAAAAACTTGACTTCTGAGGACTCCCATGAATGTTAAAGGAATGAAACTAATATAATTGGGAAATGTTTATTAACCCCAGTTAGCATATATATTGAACAGAATTATTCTTTTAACAGACTATTAGGTATGTATCATATTACATAAGAGATGTTAGTTAAACCGATTAAAGTTATCCAAGATAAGTAAGAGTAGAATATAACTTCTAAATTAAGTTATCAAATTATATCCTATTACTATTGACTAAGTAACGTGGAAGAGTTAGATTTTAACAATATTCTAAATTCAAGCTCGGTAACTAAACAACAACCTGTTGTTACTTAGCTCTTAAAATATACTTCATTTAATGTTTAACCCTTAAACAACATATCTCAGTATCCAAAAAAAAGCGGCTTAGTATGTTGTAAATATCGGTTTATGCCAATGAAATTAAACCATATTTGGAATGATACTAATGTTATCAGTAACACGTTATATATTCTAAATTAAGCACTGAATGTTAATTAAACGACTTGAAGGTAATGCACATATCGTAGCCATTAAGATCCTCTTTGCTGAAGTATCTAATTTTCAGCAGTTGTTCAGTCAAATATAGTCAATAGTCTGATATGATGGAAAGAAAAGTCAATTTTCGATTGAATTACTCATTATGAGTTTTATTCAATATGACAACCGTTTTGATTCAACGTGACGATCATTCAGTGTAGTATTTGATTTGTTTTCCCAGCATGATATTCTCTTCTGTATGATATTCTTGTATTCAGTTGACATGAACTATGGTCAGTAAGTGATTTGTTATAACTGAGTACGTGATTTAATCCTAATTATTAATCAAAATGGGTGTAAAATCAATACATAAACCAGTGTATTTTAGACTATTTTGATCATTGTCGTCGTCGTGTTTTGGGGTTAATAGATCTTCACTTATACCAGTCCTGTATTCTTACTTTTATGTTGTGGGAATTGCCGAGGTCCCTTGTTCCGAGTATAAGTGATCAGTGATATTCCGGCACAACAATTGCGACGACCAGATATAACATAATCAAAGCCAAAACCTTGAAAGACCACTTATATCACTAACAGTGAACTTCTACAAGCCAAAAATCGTCTGTTTATACACATATATTTTTCTTCATGTCACTGTTTTTTTAGTTCCTCACATCTAAATTCAATCTTGCCAGAATTTAGTTAGTTCATTGACGCAAATTTAATGGTTTTTTATGTTTTTCACATTCTCCCTCCCCCCTCTTCCACTTGTTGTATCATAATTAATTTCACTTATTTTTTTTCTCTCTCTCTCTCTCTAAAAATTGTTTCATATCACTACTCTTTATTTCCTTTTTAGTAAATTGTCGAAACAATAAAAATTTTTTTTCATTACTGTATTTTGAATACAATACACACACACACAGATGCACACAAGCGTATATACACACACACATACACACCTACGGTTAGACACAAAATGAACCAAACTACTTTCCACTTTACGAGTAATTTATTCCAT